GCTCGTGGGCCGAGCCGAGCTCGCCCAATTTCAACGAGCCGAGCTTGTGGCATTAAGGGCCGAGCCGACTCGATCCATTGCCAACCCTATATGGACTGGACTGATTTAAAAATTGCTACTAAAATTATTCATAATCGATTAGCTCGTAAATGCTCATAACCGATATGCTGGAACGCCCAAGCGGGCCCCTAGGGTTTGATCTAAATCAATATCGTCAGACTTCGAGTGAACCGGCTTGATTGGAGAAAATAAAAACTAGTTATGATAAAACCGGTATAAAAGTCGGTCATACACTGAAGATATCCCTTCGACTCTCGCGGGCTCTCGAGCTAGGGTTTTATCATTCTCTTGATTTAAGCTCCTTTCGCTCTCTTGAAATTTCTATATTAGAAATTTTTTGAATGGATTTCAGAGGCGCAAAAAGGAGAGGTAGGCCCGAGGGTGCGTTCAATGGCAGTGGCGGTTTCAAGAAATCCAAGCAAGGTCTGTTTTCATTCCTTTTTACACTTACTTTCCGTCTATTTTATTTTTTATTTTTTTTCACCCGTCTACCTCTTTATGCGGTCAGTATTTTTGAAGTAGTCAACAAGTGTTCTGCGCTTGGCTTGGGTCAAGTGTTGTTTTGTGGATTTCTAGTCTAATGTTAATGTATGGTGTTTCACTCTTTCTCGTACTCCATAATGTGATTCATTTGTTGTTAGGTTTTTTCCCTTTTTTGTGAGAATAGAATCCGGATGGACTTGGACTATTACCCATTGTAAGATTGGTAATTTTCCAAATTCCTATAGTTAGATAGCAAATTATGAAAATTGAAAATTACCTTGTACTTTTATAAAAGACAAAGATGTTGGCATACTTTGATTTATGATTTCTGGAGTCTCCTGGTATATCCACTGGAACATAATGAACCTTTTTATCCTTTATTATGTTAAATTTTAGAGTTATGCTGGTTTTTGAAGAGGGCTTTTTCGGCAGGGAATCATTGTTTGAGGCAGAGTGGTCGAGAGATGTTTTATTGACCTAAATGAATGTAACTTCGAATAAGCACGCGATGAAAGGGAGCCTACGGGTACCCTGAAGAAAGTTCCTGATATCCGAATTTCCTTGCTACCCTTTTTAAGGCTTTTATGTGTCTTTAAACAGAATGTCAATCATGAGTTTTTTGGATTATAAGTTCTATATCATTTTATTAATAGTGATGATCATATGGCTCTTAATCATTAGTTGAAGTATGAAGTTTAATAACTCATAAAGCTTAGCTGAGGAAAACGATTAATTTTCTGCAACAGAAATGGAGTCCTTTACAACTGGTATAGGAAGCAAATCGAAGCCATGCACAAAGTTTTTCAGGTTCTAATCTTAACCTATCTAAAATTAATACTTCAACTGCAACTTTTATACATTGGTAATGATCATAATATAGATGGAAGATTTATCTCATTTATAGTAAAAGAATAACATTATCCGGACCAATGAATCGGATAGCAAAGGTTCTGAAACAGGTTGTGCTCATCATTTAGTTGATAAGAATGGCTGAGCGGCAATATTGAATTAAGCACTTGCTTGGACTAGTGTAACACTTATTGAATAGAAAGGGCTGATTAATGAAAGTTATCAAAAGAAGTTCAGTGGGCAAACAATTTGCATCAATTTGTACCCATATTATAATTATGTGCGACTCCTTTTGCAACCTTGGAGAATTACTTGTTAGATTAATCAATGGATTGTATGGAATTTAGTTATGCCTGTTCCTGGGTAGTATCTTCCCGCCTGAAATGTGTTATGGGCTGCAGAAGTTTCCAACATTCTCAAGGATTTAGTCAGGGATCTTTCTTTGCGGTAAATCTCAGTACCAAATGTTAAAAAAAAAAAAAGAAAAAAAAAAAAGGTTTCTTATGCAGCACTTATGATTGACCCTTAAGGTTACAAAAAGTTTTTGCTTGCTAACGCTGTAGTTGCTTACATACTTGAATTGGTTATTGCACGTTGTCCATTGTATATATTCTTGTTTGCAGTTTTTTTTTTTTTTTGGCTTCGGTTGATCTTTGTACTCAATTCATTCTTGAAATTTTTTACCTCTTGGAACTCACATATGGCATTCCTGCATCGTATGGTTCCATAATGCCTGTGTATTATCGAATATCTTTGCCCTGACTTCATAGTAGTTACAAACATAATGTCTCAAGATTTCAAGTGAACCAAAGAAACTTCCATTTACACTTTAGCATGGTTGGTCCCTTATTCTTCCTTGATTGTCCTGATTTATTTACAACAATTTTTTCTGAAAAGTTGCAATGAAAATTTTAACTTGAATGTGTTCTGCATATTCCTTATGTCATACAGGCATGGTCATTTTTTTTTCATTTTGATGGCTTATTTGTTTACTAAGGTCCAAACAAAGAAGATCGTAATTTTGCACTTTTTTAAAAACCATAAAACAGATTTCTTGGAGGCGTGGTCATTTTTTCATTTTTACAGCTTATATGTTTACTATGGTCCGACCAAAAAAAAGAAAAAAAGGATCATGCTTTTGCACATTTCAATTCTTTAAAACCATAAAACAGATTTCCTGGACACTGTACTGGCTGCTCATAATTGCTTCCTAAGCTCTTATCAACCTGGTAAAACCTGTAATTCCTCATAAAAGTCATTTTTACCTTCAAGATTTCATTCAAAATGCTTATGAATTTCTCTTTCTTCTAGCACTATTGTTTTTTGATTTGTAGTTCGTGGAAGAGTGAAAGCTATTGATACACTTCGTATCTGATGCTCAATTGGCACAATGGCTTCTGTTTTTGTCTCTAAAATTGTCATTTGTCAATACACTGGTGCCCGTTACCTACTTACGATCCAAAGGAGTTCTCTTTTTCATTTATTCATGGGTATATGAGGATAGTCAGCTAAGGGGGAAAGTAGTCAGTAGTGAACTGTGTAGGAGTTATTCTAGGCAACTTTATGTAATTGTAGAATCTCATGTTAGGTTCTCTTTACATTTACCTTTAGTTTTCGGTTTTTATTGATTTTATGTGTGGTTTTTTTTTTTGTTTGTTTTTTTTGGGGGGGGGGGGGGGGGGGTTGG